TCAAGTCTCGGCCGAGGCGGCTTCAGGCTGAGCCTCTCCGCCCGCCGTGGTCGCGTGTAGGTGACTTGGAGCGTTTCATCAGCTCTTTGTGGACGAGCGTTAAAAACCCCAAGCCTGCGAGCGGATAGTAAGCGTCTGTGTAGAGAATAACTTACACTGACAGCTAATCTTGCCGTATGTGGGGAACGGAAATTGGAATTGGAAATCTGTCAGCGGTAAGACTGTAACGCGTTCCAGTGAATGATTTTTTTGTTACCGGTAAAGAACTGAGTACGTATCTCAAATTGAGTCCAGCTTTCAGTAGTTCACATGCGTTTTCCAAGGCGCGTGAAGGAGGTGTATCTCAAAGACTGAGTGAATAAACTTTCCGTTACATTTGGTGATAACATTTTTTCCCCCAATAGCGGTGTTTATGGGCAGCTTTTCATTGTCACTTGCCTTGACTATTTGGTCCCGACAGGCAGAATTCCCTCATGGACTGCAGTCAAGTTCATACTGCTTAGTAGAGGAGATGAGCAGGACTGAAGTAGTAAATTTTGGGGGGTTTTACTTTTGAAACTTGGCAAGAAAAGTAAGCCGGGAGTTGAATTTGATGCAGACCAAATATTTTTCCTATGTATCTGGGTATTCAGTGTTGTCCAGTGTTCCTGGAAACTTACTTCAGATGTTAATGAATAAACAGAAGTCTTACCGAGATGATGTTTAGAAACATTAATTATAATTCTGTTTTCCTTTCGAGTGTTTTTATTTTCATGTGAAAAATGCCAGTCCTTTCTGATAAGTTTTAATTGCCACATGTTACTAAATGTTGATTGGAACTAGAAAACTAAGGCTGTGTCTGTAGTATATATATGTATTCCTCTCTTTGGCCTTCTAGTTTCTAGGCATTTCTGTGTTAGGAAGTAGTCAATTATGCATTTATTTTGTTACAGGCTGGTGATTAATTTTTACTTCACTTCTGCATCAAGCTCTATTTGTATGAAAATTAGTTCATTAAGTTTATGAGCAAGATTTTACGTTGTGTTAAATAAAAACTTTGTGATACATTATGACAAATAGGCAACACATTTTATCTAAGTGTGTTTTGCAAATTTATTTGATTATTTTCTAGCAGGAGATTCAAACATAGTGTTCCAGAGTTTTGGGTTATAATGGCTTTCAAAATTTTGAGTCTAGTTGACATGATTTTTTTTTTTAACACTTAATTAAATTTGCTGACAGAGGAAAAGGCACTGCCCTGCAATTTCAGTTTCCTCTTTTTTTTTTTCTTCTAATTTTTCATCTAGTTCAGGAACTGTTGTGCCTGCACCAACTGAAGTGCCTGTTAGAAGTTATTTAGGCACTTGAGCAGGTTGTATTTCAGAGTGATGAGCCATTGATTTTAATAAATTAGGAGATTCAGCATTTAAAAAATCTCCTGGGAGCATGTATGTGCATCGTGTTTCAGTTTGAGTTACTTTATTTTACTTATTGTTATTTTGCTATGTTGATTAAAAAAATTGCAGTCCTCAGTCATTAATGGGCTTATTCTGAAATCTTTTATATATATTAAAAAATGGAAGAAAGTCACCTGGTTTTGTGTTTAAAACAACTTACACTTGTTTTGCTGTGGTCCTAGGCTGTGTGCTTCACAGCAGTCTAGGAACAAGGTTTAATGGAGGTGTTTTATAGCTTGTAAAAGGCTCCAGGCTGCTGAGTGATGACACATCTTAGTATGTATGCTTTCGTGTGTGGGGAAGCTCTTACATTACCTTTATTGCTATATTCTGGGTATCAGATGCCAGTTAGATTTTGCACTAGCTTGTTGAATATAACCAAGGGCAGTAACTCTGAAATAAATGCCCATGGTCCAGGCTCTTAATCTCACCTGAGATGGGGAGACTGGCAGGACCCAACGGCTTGTAAAATCCAGGTCGTTGGCTTTAACGGCATGTCTTCCCCGAAGCGTTCCAAAATAGTAAGGCCTTCCCAGGATGGCACACCTAATGTGAGAGGGTTATACGAGCAACACGGCGCTTCTCGAATAAAATAACTTCTGTGAGTGGAATCAGCTGTACAGCCGCAGCTCTGCTTTTTTAACTGCACAAACAGCAGAGGTGTGTGACAGCACAGCGGTGCCAGTCAAGAGTTGCGCCTTGACATACCACCATAAAAACAAAGTTGTTAACTGTTCTTTCTGAAAAAGATGGTTTCAAACGCTTTCCTGTCATCCTTGTACTCTCCTTTGCATCCGTGCAGTGCTTCATTGTTTCATGTTGGTTGTAAGCTTTTTTTTTAAGCTTACAATTAATTTTAAGGTAATTTGTTATGATACAACAGATGTATTTTCTAATGCACTTACTACAATGAGATTCAAATACAATAGAGTAGTTTGGGTGCTGTTGCGTTATAGATCCATGTTATTCTTCCCTCACATCTACATTTTTCAGTACTTTAGTTGAGAGTCTTGCTTTGCTGAATAATAAGACAGGTAACATTTGTATCCTGGAGAGGAAAATAGCTAAATTTATGGAGGGGAAAACCAGGTGTCATAAATATTGTGGAACTGTGATCAGACTCCATTTCTTGATACTGAGATCAGCTTGTATTTCTGTAAATGTAGCTCCTTCAGTTGACCCTCCTGCGGCTGGAGTGGGATTCATCCTGTCAAAATGTGTTTGGGAGTTAGGATCTTGGCTGAGTAATAAGGGGGAGAACGGGCGTGTTGGATGTGGCCTGCTTGGGAAATTTTGAAAAGCAACCAAACAAATACTGTATTCTTTTTTCCTAGGAAGCTTAGGGTTTTTTTTTGTAGAACAATTTGCCTGCATCCAAAATGAACACAATGGCAAATTTTATTCAATCTAAAACTTGAGTGGAAGGAAAACAGCATTTGGCTGGAAAGGTCTAACAACCTTTAACTAAGGATAATTATTTTACTAGGAATCTGCATACGTCCAGGAATGCACAGGGGGTTTTCATTCAGAGAGGACTCTGGCAGTTGTAGAAAGCAGGGCTTTGTACATTATTGTATGTGTAACGGTAACAAATAGAAGAGACTTTTTTTTCCTCCTTGCATTATCTTGCCCTCCCAGCTGCCACATGACGTGATAAAGAGCATGTTCTTCTGCATAGTTTAATAATATCCCTTCCTCTGAAAGTAGTTAGAAGTTTCAGGTATTTTCCTTAAATTTATTTATATTTTGCTTTTTTTAACCTGAAGCCTGGTGTGTAAAATTATACTGATGTTCATTGTCATGTCTATGTGCATTGCTAAGTTTTTTCTTCTCTCGACTTCGATGGTGTAGTTGAACAGGTTGGTGCATGGAGACTATTAATGAACTTTTAATATGTTTTGGAACGGAGTATTTGAAATCCATTGTTTTGTTTTGGTTTTTTTTTTAATCTTTTATATAAGTATTGCTGCTGAGCAGATCAGCAATCCCATATGTCTGTCTATAAAAATGGACATCTGATAATACTGAAAATTGGAAGGAGGGAAGGATGTGCCTGAGGAAGGATGTGCAGTGAAATAGAACAGATGGGAATATGGGAACTTGACCTGAAAGTCATTTGGGGGATACGAGGGGGCACAGGGTAGCGAACACTCCCTGTAGTAGGGGCTGCTGTGGCGTACATTGGGGTGCTGGCTGTGATGCTGTGTGGGTTTTCTGTTCTGCCTGTGAGATGTGTTTTACCAAAACAAGCCAAATGTGAGCGTATCTTAGCCATTGTTAAACATAACTCCAGTTAGGTTTATATTGGTCATATGGGTGACAGTTTAGTCTGTTTATACCAGAATATTTTCACCTTTTTGCTCACATTCCTCTGCTCTTTCCTGTTCATCTTTTGGTTTCTTGCCTTGCAATCTCAGCAAAATGAAGAGTGGGACTTGAATCCTACCATCAGGTATCTTCTCTGTTACAGTCAGTTTATAAAAATCCCACATCCGCATTAGATCAGCACAGTATGTCTGGAACAGTACGTAACATACTCCAGGGAGAAGCTTCTAAGTGTAGATTTGACCTTGTGCAAATGTGTTTAATCCCCGTTGTTTGTTTGCATTTATGGTATTTAAACTACTACCAACAGTCATGACACTTCAGTGATGCGACTTTTATGTGCAATCAGTACTAGACATCTGTTTCATCCTTTAGAGTATATGGAATCATATCCAAAAATACATTAAAAAGACATAATGGTGCGGAGTCAGGCATTCAAAAATTAGGAAATGCCAGAATTAAAGTACCCTGCATAATTCGGAAATAAACAGGACTTGCTCCTTAGAAGCAGCAGGTTATTGCTTTAATCTGTTGCGTTAAGATTCAAGTATGCTTTTCCTTTGTAGTCTTAAACCTATTGGGCAGGAGTTGTGGTGAGGGAAAGTGGAGTCTCAGTCTGCCCGCAGGATGTGCAGAGGGTGACAGGCCAAGCCTCAGTCCCACTGGCTGGGGCAGTTCTAATAATGCCGTGATGGCCGGAGGAATTACAAGTGGAGTAAATCGTTCACCTTGTCTAATTCTTTATTTCTTCACTGAGACTTGCTTTTTAGCAGGCGTTCAGTAGAGGGTTGAAACCTCCGGTCTTCCAGGCTCAAGAATAAAATAATAAGAAGTTTTCCTGTGTATCTTGTGCAAATCTTTTAATCTGTCGTATTCCTCTCCTAGCCCCATGACAGTTTATGGCTTGAGTCAAGTACGCCGGCCATCTCCTGCAGTAACGGAAACTAGATCTGCTGGTGTTTTGATATAAGTTGGTTCTGTGGTGCTGTTTGTCTCATACATCAGTCAGAAAAGAACTTTGGGGTCAAAAGCTACAAAATATTTGTAAAATGAGTACACTCAGGAAGAGCAGTAATTAGCTGCTTTCCAGGAGCTGCTGGAGCATCAGTTGTGTAATCCCATGTACTAGGAACATACAGTAACAAAAATTCAGAGTTAAATACCCAAATTTCAATTTTGACAGTAACCAAGGTTTTTTCTTGCAAGGCCAAGCAGGAGGGAATGGTACGGCTCAGAGCAGCTCCAGCCGCGTTCCCTTAGGAGAAGCCTAAGTATAGTAGTGAGGAGTGTTTCATCAGCCCCATAACTTCTCTTTGGCACGGTGTCTTCAGTCTTTCATCGTCATCAGGCGTTGGGGTATAAATGCTGGGTGAAGGTGCTGAGGGTTTCAGTGTACTGACTGCACTCTTAGGAGACGGGAACTCGGGCTCATTAATTATCAGTTTGACCCATACTTACACGCCCTCTGACTGGTGGAGCAGGTGGTATTGAGTAACTTTCCTGAATTGGGCAACACTGCTGCCCTTTATGTTGGTTGTACAACTGAATGTGGTGTTGGATCCTAGGTCCTTCCTGGCTGCCACAGTACTGGTTGCCATTAGGAGTGCTTACTCCTCCTCTTGCATGTTGGTGGGAACTTTTATCCAAACTAACCATGCCTTTGCAGTGATTCCATTAGTTTGCAGTAACTTGGGATGTGCTGAGGCATCTTGAAGTCCTTCTCCTTTTCCAATATATTTTGTTTACGAAACTCACTGTTCATACAGAGAGCATGTAGCTCAGATGGAATAGTCTGTGCTGGTGTGAAACGGTGAAGTTAGGAGTACCTACAACCAAGTGCCTTAGGAATGCAGCTCCTTCATTTAACCCGGGTCTCGGAAGCATCAGTGCGGTTCACCCCGGCTGCTACGTGCATAATGTATGATGATTACTCTTTCTCTGTTAGGTTATGTCATATAATGGGAAGGTTTGAAATGAGTGGGTCCCATGTGGTGATTTGGGGGGGAATGATCTTAATTTTCTTAAAAATTACTGACTAATTTATAACTTAGGGTGTGTGTTTTGAGAACAAAGGAAAGTTTAAGGCAAGTTATAAAATATATGATGGTGCTGCTGTTTGTCAAGGTTAACAATATCCTTTTTTATGACCAAGTCCTATTTTTTTTTATCATTTTATTTTCCTTTTTGACACTTGTTCTTTGCCTTGGGCTGCTAAGCAGTTTTTGTTATTTTGCTCTGTGGGTAGTGATTTTTATATAGTGCGAGGTGTGTGGTTACTACTGCAACAGAGCAGTGAAAGGTTTGTTATTGAATGTGCCAGAGATGATGTGGCACCATCTTTGCTTGCTACAAGAGAGGTCCTGCCAGCCAGTCCATCCAGGAAGACAAATGATACCTTGCAAGTCTCATGGAAAATGACCTGTTTTCAGTATAACGTGCAGCTTGCAGCAGTTGGCGCCTAGCAGTGTATCTATTCCAGGTGCATGGGTGGATATGTGAATATCCAGCATCCTCTGTCCTGCCTACCTAAAACCTGTAGTTAGCCATGCTCTGATTTCTGATGGTCCCAGTGCTGCCCAGCCCAGAGCTGCAGCTCTGGGGTCTGTAAGACAAGCTAAGAGGAATTGGAAATGGCAGAGCCTATAAGCATAAGAATAGCAATTCATAATGAAAACCAGAACAAAAGAATATTTGAAAGAAGTCAGAAGACCACCTGGGAGAAAATTTAAACAAGAGAAAAAGGAAAACTTTGGGATTTCATGGTATGAAAGAAACAAAGTCTGAGAGCTGGGCTTCAGGGAAGGGAAAGGTTCATTGTCACTTGGCATTTTTAATGGTTGAATGTGATTTATTTCACAGCTGCTCCCCTCCGGTTTTCCTTTTCTGTGGTCAGTTGTTAAAAAACAACGCTGTTTGCTTTGTTTTCATGTTGTGATTGTTTACATGAGCTGGATGAAGATTCTCTGAATGTGAAGGGCATGTTCTGCATGACTCCATTTTCACTCCTCTCCCCTTTTTTTATTCTGCAGATTCCACCAATCTGCAAGCAAAGATCATGGCACAGTCCGGGGGGAGATTATTCAAGGCCGCTCTTAGGGGCCTCAGAGGTAGGTATAAATTTTCTCTTCTTGCAGATCAGAGGAAACTCACACCCTTGGAGCATCTTTCCATTTAGTCTGCTGTTTGGTTTTTGTTTATTTTTGGTTTTTAATTTCACTATTTACACTTTTGAAGTGCAGCAAGTTAAATCATAGAATCATGAAATGGTTTGGGTTGGAAGGGACCTTAAAGATCATCCAGTTCCAACCCCCCTGCCATGGGCAGGGACACCTTGCACTAGACCAGGTTGCTCAAAGCCACATCCAGCCTGGCCTTGGACACTTCCAGGGATGGGGCATCCACAATATCTCTGGGCAACCTGTCCCAGTGTCTCACCACCCTTTCTGTGAAGAATGTATTCCTGATACCTAATCTAAACCTCCCTGTTTTCAACTTAAACCCGTTACCCCTTGTTCTGTCACTACAGGCCCTTGTAAAAAGTCCCCTCCCAGCTTAAATGGCACGTTATGGTTCTGCCTGTAGGAAAGGATATAACTCTGCTTAGAAGCTTCAGACTGTTGCACTCTCCTCAAGAAGTCTTCCTGAATCTCTAGAAACTAATGGCAGTGCAGTAACTTACAAAGAATTCTCAGAAACATGTTTTGTGTGTTGATACTTAGATTCATGTAGAAAATACCCACTACATAGAAAGCTGTGAGTTTTCCTTGAGTATTTAGTGCTTTATTACGTCAAAATTCTACTTAGTTTGTGAAATATCAAGAAATGTGGAAATTTATTATCATCATTCTGAGTGCCAGGGTGTCAGGCTGTTATTCCTCTGAGGTCTGCTTGCCTTAACACTAACATGAGGAAGATTCAGTTTTTACTGTTCGTGGAGTAATTATGACACATTTCTAAGTAACATGCTCTGCTTAAATGAAGCTAGGAAATGTATTTGTTTTGGTTTATTTTATTGCACAAATAACCACTTGTAGAACTGACTTAAGCGGGTAAAATCTTTTGAGAGTCATTGGGACTTCAAAGCGTAAAATGACTTAAATGGGGTTTTATAGTGTTTTTCTTTAAAATATGGAAAGTGAATTTTTGATTTGGGGAGCCCTGAGGTCTGCTATCAAACCATAAACATAAAATGAGATTCCTAAAGAGCTTTCACATAACTTGAACCCACAAATTGTCAACGTACAGCAAATCTTTTAAACAAAATGCACTCTTTTTGCAAAGCTTTAACACATCCGTTGTTTCTGGCAGGCACTTTGACATTGGAGAAACTCGTAGTGGTAGTGAGTTACTAGTTTTTAGTTCATCTACATGCCTTAATAAATCCAGAATTTTTCTCTGTATGTATTTAGCAGGGAATCTTGGCCTCATGCTAAGAAAAATGAGTTTTGTTTTTTTTTTTTAAAAAAGCAGGTGTTTCCCTAGCTGCATCTGTACGTGGATTGCAGTAGTGGCTCTGGGCTGGGGTCACTTGTACCTGTCATATGGCATGAGTAGGCCAATCTCATCCTGACAGGAAAGAGAAGTGTGAAGCAGATTTATCTGTTTTGCCCCCAAGTAAAGTCACTTTTTACAAACATAGAGTACTGTTGCTTAAGTATGTTCCACTTCACGTATTAATGTGCCTGAGCACAGTTATCCTCCAAAACTTCAATTTGTTTTCTGTGTTCTTTAGTCCACTTCTCAGTTTCTAGGTGTCCTTTTAACTGAAATATTTAACGCTGTTACCTTTACCTCCTGTCAGCTTGGAATGTGCTCTTTACAATGCGAGGTTTATAGTCCCTTTCTTACTATTGTTGCCTTAAGGAAGGCAAGGTTTTTAGGGAGAGGCGATAGCTTTTATTAAAGCAAGCTGATACAGTTGGAGGATGAGAGGGGGAAAACAGACCAGTAGTTTTTTCTGTTGGCTTTCACATGCATGTTTCCTGAGGTTCTTGCAAATTGACTTCTCATTTTCACACAGATCCTCCCGAGGTGGCGACTGATAGAAAAGAGAACGTGTTGGCATGGTCATGCAGGTGGCGGGCTTCACACAGATCCGAAGGAAGGGGTAAGAAAGTACTTTAATTAGTATTGCTTTTTGAATAAAATACGTGATCAGCTTCCCAAGAACAAGAACAACAAAATAGCTGAAGACCCCAAGCAACCACTTGTGAAAAGCTGTCTTGGTAGATACGTGAACGCTGTGGTGAAGTAGATGCTGTTTAGCTGTCGGTGTAGGCTCACTAGCTCTTAAATCACGCAGTGTTTGTAATAACAGTTGAAGAACTTCAGCACCACTTTATGAAGAATGCTGTCTTAGTGTTGCTCCTTTGAAACTGGCCTGTGTTATGTTAGGTTTTTTTTTTTATGGAGAGTATGTTCCATTGTAATTTATTGTGGTTTGTTCTGGTTGGTGACTGATCTTTCTGTGTGACTTGACATTTGGGGTAGTAGATACCAGTTTGTGGATACCAGTTAGTGCCTCAGCTGGTAAAATTGCACTTGAAGGTGGGTGGGGGAGAGAAGTAATGAAGCTGCGTGTATTTTTACTTGTGTGTAATGTTAATGCATCTGATATATTTTGACTTTATGTTCAGGAAGCAAATGTTAAAATAAGTATGATAGGTATGTAAGGAAAAGCAGTATCTTTTATTAGACCCAATGATTACAGTTAGAAAATGAAGCAGGCTTTTGGTTAAAACAACACAATGTAAACTTCGCATGATTATAATTGCAAAATTAAAGCTCTTGAGTTTACGTAACAAATTTTCTTACTGCTTCTGCAAACTAATATCTGATGCTTTGTGTATTTGCAGAACAATTCTGCATGATGATTAGAACTTGTAGCATTAAAACTCGCCAGAAATATGTTAAGCCACAAATTTTTATGCCAGCTGATACTTCTTTGGTCTGCTAGGCAGTGTAAATATTCCAGTAGCATTCTCCACTCACGTGTTACTTGTAGCTGTTCCTCTGTAAACCATCTCCTGATTTCTTCCTTCCATTAAATGTAGTAATAGTGTAGTTAATATGGGACACTGTCAGTTAAGGCTGCTGTCTGATTAAACAACTATCAGCTGTTAAGGATCATCCAGGAGAAAGCTGAAAGAACCAGCCGTAGATGAGGTGAAATGTGTGAAGAGAGGAAAAACACAGTGTAACATGGGATGCAAAAGCCAAGAGGTTCTTAGCAAGAACCAAGGGAAGGAAATCTGATGTTACAAGCGCAGTTCTTGTGCCTGTGCGTGCGCACACTTGTATTTAGTGCACTTAATTTAGCATGTGAGAATTTTTTCCCCCCAAGGATTATGCTTGTAGGAAAACTGCAGATGATATACATGCCAGCTATATTACACCTTTCTCTCTTCCAGTTCTTTTTTTGACAAACCAGCCTGTTCATTCTGGAAACTGGCTTTGGGACTGATGTTTTAAATTGCCCCTTTTCTAGCAGCTTCATAGGATACAGAACTGAATACTAGGGATAAACAGAGTGTGATGGGCATGTTATCTTCACCTCACAAGTAACTAGGGGAGAAGCTTACACATCGGGTTATTCTCAAAATAGTTTTTGACTTGCAGCAGTGGCTGATGTGCTGAATGGTGAAACTGAAAACAGTATTGTTCTTTATCACCTTTGGGGTTTTTTTTGTGTTGGCCTTTTGTACACAGAATAGACAGGGATAGACTGTGGTGCCTGGCTTGTTGCTAAGCAGACATATATTACTTTCTTATGGAAAGGCTGATAGTCACAA